AGATTTATCAAGAGGTTGGAGTTTGTGGGTAGAGTGGGGCGGCAAAGAAATGATAACAACATGATTTTCCCTCGCCAAGTTTATAACGTCTATGTTGCGAGTGTGGCTATAGTGTCCATCGAGTATAAGGAGAACTGGGGAATTCTTACTGGGCTTAACAAATGCCAGAAAATGCTGGAACCATTCAGTAAAAAGATTTAGCTGATCCCACCCGCTAGGATGTACTGCATAGATAGATCCAGCTGGAGCCCCACGCATAAGTTGTTCATTCCTGTTTTTCCTAGGAAAGATTAACATGGGAGGAACAAACTAACCTCCAGCAGACATAGCGCTAATTACTGTGACGAGAGAGCCGCGCTCTGCAGACGTTAATGCAGCTATTTGCCTCTTGCCCTTCCGTCCCACAATCTTTGGAATCTTGCTTTGAACCACGGTAAGACCAGTCTCATCTACGTTGAATATTTGATGCGGTCCAAAGTTATGATTTGAATATTCTATTTCCAGGTTCCTGAAAAAATCTTGCACGTTTTCTTTATTAAACCCAAGTGCTCTAGCAAACGAAGTTCCACTTGGTCTGCGAACTGACAAAACTGCCCCGATGCCGAATACCATTTCTGTCAGCTAGAGTGTATGCCATACTACAAATATCCTTCTTGGTCAGTCCATAATACAGCCTCTCTATTTCTAAAATATATTTTACTAATTCAGTCTCTATACTACCTCCTAACACTGGTTTTCTTCCTAATTTTCTATTTACAGCTTCAACAGGTTCGATACCATCTTTGCATTGGTGCAATAGTCTTTGGAGGGTGGTCCTGGGAACATTGAACTGTTTAGCCGCCTTTTTCAGTCCCTTTGTTTTATCTAAAACAGCTTCTAATGCTGATATCATATCTTCCTTTTTCCACAGCTTTCTCTGATCCTTCTTAAGATATTTCCTCTCATTCCCCATGATTCTGCAAACAAAAATGCATTACTGAACTGTGGTCCCAATACGGGCTCCTGACCGTATTTCAAGGATCATAGGGGCCCATATTTCACGAATCACATGTGGGATGTTTACTTAGTCAAAATCATTATCAAGCCTTACAATATCAATGGAGTTCTTCAGGAATTATATACTCAAGCTTTAAGTAACATTACACAATAAGAACTCATCAGAAAATATGTATAACACCTAACAAAACAATCCAACATTATACTTACGATTGAAATTTCACGAAGGAAAGATCAACCGCCATGTACTGAAGTATCGGACCTTAAGCAGTACAATACTGTCAGAAATACAAATGATCGGTTATTGGATTTAGTACTGAGCAATGCAAATTGCCAAACTCATCGAGATCTTTCTCCGCTGGTTGGGGAGGATCGACACCACCCTTCATTAACGATTCAATATTATATAATGAATCAACATATAGCTAATTTTGAACCTAATCGTGATATTCGTCTGTTTAACTTCCGTAAAGTCAATTTTCCTCTCATGTACCAACTTGTTTCACAGATGTGCTGGAATAATATTCTTGCCTGTACTGATGTTAATGATGCTGTGCAGCAACTTGAAAACAATCTGAAAAGTATTTTTGACGTGTCGGTTCCTTATAAAACCTCCAATTCTCGTGAGTACCCTCCATGGTTTTCTAGAGAAACAATAAAAGAGGTTCGACAAAAAGAGGCAGCACATAAGTTGTACAAAAAACATAGGACAGGTTTTTATTATGACCGATTTGCTAATCTGAGATCTTCTGTCATGATAAAAATAAATAGAGACGATCGTAATTTTATCAAAAGTGCTGAAAATAATATAAATAACGATCCGTCTCAATTTTGGAGTTTCATTAGAAATAAAAAAGGGAATAGCAGGATTCCTGGCGCTATGAAAATGGATGCCAGTGTTTTTACAAATGATATTGTTGATGCCTTTGGTCAATACTTCTCTGATGTATATAATATGCCTGATGCTAACCTAGCTAATAATTTGCCTCATAAATATTTGAACTTACCTGTTATCGCTATTAGGTTAATTTCAGAGGCTGATGTTGTCGCATCGTGTAATAAATTGAAGAATAAACTGATCATAGGGCCTGATCAGATACCTAGTTTTCTAGTTATAGATTGCATTATGCCGTTGTTACAACCCTTAGTTTACATTTATAACCTAATTCTGAAGTCCAACTCGTTTCCAGAGGCTTGGAAACTAGCTAGAGTTACTCCGATATTGAAAAAAGGTGGCCCAGCGCAAATTGATAACTGTAGGCCTATTTCAGAATCTTGTAATTTTGCAAAATTATTTGAAATAATACTTTATACATTTATTTTTGCCGCAACGACAGAGTCATTGTCTATCGATCAGCATGGCTTTGTCGATAAGAAATCATTTATCACTAATCTGGCTTGCTTGTCACAAACCATTTGCAAAACCTTGGATGACCGAAGCCAGGTTGATGTCATGTATATGGACATGGAAAAGGCATTTGATAGAGTAGATTTAGGTATCCTATTGAAAAAACTGTGTTTTTTTGGGTCCTTTGAAGATCTTTTATCGTTGTTTAACTCGTATCTTTTTAACAGGAGTCAATATGTTGATTATAAAGGATATCGTTTACTACTTATAAAGCCTACTTCAGGAATCCCCAAGGCTCGAATCTAGGACCCTTACTATTTATCTTATATACTTTGAAGTTGAGTCATTAATTTTCAAATAATAATTGTAGAAGGAAGATACACCAAAATATGTGTAAAAAACATTTCTTTTGATCAGATCTACTCACTGTTAAAATAAATGACTCAACTTCGAAGTCACCCTGTATAAACGATCTAACTCTTGACTTGCACTGTTCAAAGTTATTATATGCAGATGACCTTAAAATATACAACTATGTCAATACTATCGATGACTGCCTTGTCTTGCAGCAATATATTATCACAGTGTCTTCATGATGCCATGCCAATCATCTTAACTTAAATGCGGACAAGTGCTTTGTTGTGTCTTTCACAAGGAAATTAAACATCTTAAATTTTAACTACTACCTTGGACACGTTAGCCTTAAGCGTCAAGAGCAAATCGATGACTTAGGAATCATATTTGATCAAAAAATGTCTTTTTCAACTCGTATCGACACGACTGTTTCGTCGGCTAATAGGATGTTGGGATTTATCATGAGGAACGCTAGATAATTTTCTATTTCAATACTGAAGAATACTATATAAGTTATGTATGTAGCAACTTGGAGTATTGTATCTTGATTTCGTACCCACATTGCGCAACACACATTAGGAAGATAGAACGTGTTCAGAGAAAATTTTTGAAATATATGCATTTTAAGAAAACTGGTTTATTCCCCGAAAGAGGATTTGATTACTCTTTGCTGCTTAATGAAGCAAACTTTATTTCTGTTGACACACGACGTATCTTTCTAACAACGAGTTTCTTGTACAAACTCATTCATGGGGACATGCAGGGTTTGTCCGAAAAGTAATAGGACTCATTTTCTTCCGCCATGACTGTACTTCGGAGCGACTGGATTCGGTAGAGGGCGTTCCTAGCTAACGAATGAGCGGCTGGTCAGTTGTCTCGGAGCACTTGGAGTGTCAGGAGAGGCATTTTCGCGTGAAACTCGGTAAATCTGCGACAGAGACGTTTGATATCATCAAGCAGGCTTATCCAGGTGTTTCTTTAGCAAGAAGTGGTGTGTTTCGGCGATACTAGGCCTTTTTGGAGGGCCGGGAAGAGGTCGCTGATGAAGACCGTGCTGGAAGACCTTCAACTTCGACAAACACCGATAATGTGACTCATGTGCGCAAAGTTTTGAACTCAGACCGTCGACTAAGTATTCGTTTAATTGCCCAGATGTTAAATTTACCAAAATCTGTGGTCCATGACATTGTGACACACCATTTGAACATGCGCAAGGTGTGCGCGAAGATGGCCCCAAAAGGGCTCACTGACGACCAGAAATTGCAGCGAGTGGAAGTGTGCCAAGAAAATTTGAACATGTGTGAAAGTGACCCCCAATTTTTGAATAACGTAATCACAGGTGACGAGTCGTGGATCTTTGAGTATGATGCCGAGACAAAGAGGCAATCTTCCGAGTGGCACACAACGGCGTCTCCTCGCCCAAAAAAGGGAAGAAAGAGCAAATCCAAAGTGAAAACGATGCTCATTGTCTTTTTTGACATCAAAGGCATCGTTCACCATGAATTTGCTCCTCCTGGACAAACCGTCAACACCAAGTTTTACGTGGAAGTGCGCAGGAGACTCAAACGAAGGGTCAGTCGGGTCCGACAAGACATCGCAGCCAACTGAAAGTTGCACCACGACAACGCCCCGGCTCACACCGCCTTTCTTGTGAACAGCTATCTGACCAAGGCCGGCATCCCAACGCTTCCGCAGCCGCCCTACAGCCTGCATCGACGCAGAAGGAGCCTATTTTGAAAGTTTTTAAAGAATTGTAACGATTGGATCAATAATTTTTTTTAAATCGACTCAGTCCTATTACTTTCCGGACATACCCTGTAATATTCGAATTTTTGTTATGTAAAATTCCATTTACTGTGCCTACACGCAACACCAGAAATTCTAGAGTATTTTATTGTGAATGCCCTAGAACCAACATTTTAGCTAAGTCGCCTATTTCGATAATTTGTAACAATTTTAATTTGATATGTAACAGCTGTGACATCTCGCTAGTTTATAGTTCTATTTTGCAGATCACATTTAATGAAAAATCCTTTATGTTTGTGGTATATGTTTTGTGCTCATTACCAGGAATGAAAATATATGGACCATAAATATTATAAATATGTTCATACAATGTAAAATTCAGATGAAAATATATTTTGTGGCAGGTATAGATTTTGTACTGTTCTCAAAACTTCAAATAACTGTAAACACATTGCGAGAAACGTGCAATTGGTGTGTTGGAAAGAGATAGACTCAGCTCGTTGCCTAGGAACCCGATTGTCGAGGTCATGGACGCCATCGGAGCACTCTTTCTAAACATAGATATTGCGCGCTTCTCGCGATTCTCTCTCGTACCCATTACGACGTCAGCCAAATTTGAACTTCGCCGTATATGGATGATTTTATAATGGCATGTGTTATTGACGCTGTTGCTTCGACAGATAAGTGGCCACTTATATGTAATAACAGCAAGAATATATTAATAACAGCACTATAAAATCTTTCATACATCATTAGAAATGGGCACTATAAAATTATACAACCTCAGATTTATGCAGAGTTGGCAACGTCTTGGGCAATCTATCAATCATGCTGCATCCAGAAAAAAAATGGTGGCTTGTCACTGACACCAGTCAACCGTGTTCGTATTGCCCTATGGATAGCATGGGACTGTATGTTTTGCCGTGTATATGTTTTGTGGTCATCTCAATGAACTGTCAACAATGTTGACAGTTCATTGGGTCATCTCAATTTTTCTAGGTTAAGGTTAAGTTTAGGATCTTGTTCCCGTCGAGAGGAAACTGTTATGTTTAGGTTTTATCTTTAAATACAGTGAAAGAAGTGTTATAGTATTGCAGGATCAGTCACTAAATTTTAATCAGAACTGTTGTCAAAATATAATGCGACATCAATAGTCAAAGATTGATACAAAGGCACTAGGTATTATAGCTATGGCTGGGCCAGAAAATACCTTCATTCAAAGAAACTTGAATGCCGATGAAAATTATTATGGTCCAGAAGACAATTTAGGGAGGCCAGATTTGACTAGAAGATTGCCAGTACACGATGATTATGTCTCAAATAGGGAAGCATATATACAGTATTCAAACCGTATATACCACAGTCATGAAGGTAGAATTTAAAGAAAAAGTTTTGGGCATTCTTAATTCATATTATATTCTTTTAGATATGACACTGAAGCACTATATTGGCTCAGGAGTAGCATTTGTAAGCTTAGTAGCCGAAAACTTGCTGAGCCATCCATTTCTGGTACTTCGAAGGCAATGCCAGGTCCACCATAATTCACACAGATACCACCTTCAGCCTTTTACTTTGATACCTGCTATTTATCATCTACACCAGCACCAAGGTTTCACAACTCTGTGGAAAGGTCTGGGGTCAGTTTTGCTAGTGCGTGGAATGACCCTTGGTGTTGAGGATTTGATATCGAAGGTTACTCCATGGCCAAAGTAAGGCATTTTAATAATCATTTAATCCATAAACTACTATTACTTTGAGATTTTGTCTATTTTATTGCTAAATTTTGGTCTAGTATATAGGTCTAAAATATAGTTCATAAAAATTTCATGATATGATACTGATAATTATTTCCAGGGAAATCAGCTGGCACAGTAGTTTAAAGCAGTTTTTTCAGCACACAGTTTTGAAGTGGTAAGATTTTCCAAATACAGTTATATTTAGTCTGTAAATCACTTTAATTTTTGCTTTTCAGCATACTGAGGTTAGGATTTCTTTTGACATTGCTATAAATAGTATTCTGATGGATCTGTCAATGCCAGATAGTGCTCTATTTTGTTTTTGTCTTTTGTACACTATAGATTCATTTTGTACTTGCTAAAAGCTCTTTCATTTACAAAAATTTCATTTGCAGACAAAAAACAAAATTTTATGAACAAGTTTTACTAGATTTACACCCGATTCATTATTGCCAACATCACAGACTAACACAAAAATATCACTTGATCAGCTGTTCGCCTCAGTAGACGTCTAAGCATGATGGATTACCTGTAAAATAGGGTATATGTAGGGTGACCATAATTTTTAAACAAAAAAAAACACTTTTAAGGAAAATCACCACTGATACTTTGAGCAATTTTTTGTCTAAATCAAACACATTTTTAATCAAACAAAATAAAGGTATTTATATAACAAAAGAGTTTTAAGTAAATATGTACATAAATATTTAAAAGTTAATTTTTATTTTCCGGCGGCAGAGTGGCTTGAAAAGTACATTTAGGTGAACTTGATAAACTTACTTTTAAAGGACAGTAGTATAGAGTTCGAAGGAAAGTACTGTCCTACTAAAAAAAGTACATATGGTCACTCTAGGTATATGTATTCTCATGCTTAAAGCCCTAAAATCCAATTTTAATTGTATAACTAATTTTGCTTGTGTGGTTTATAACTTGATGAAGACAGAAGTTATTCATAAAACTTGTAAGTTGACTAACTAATTAGCTTTTAGGGCCTACACAAGAGATTACACAATTAAGTTTAGTATCAAAAGGTGATTGTCAGTCTGAAATTCAAATTTTCACTAACCTCAATATACTGCGTCGCCATCGCCAATCTAATAGTCACAGCATATTTATATCACACAGTGCATCCGTCTTATTATATTATGTCAGACGTCATGGCAGCTTACTTTTATGAATGGATGATATAAAATCTATACTCTGTGGACAATTATGGAGCATTAGCCATGCAACACGATTTGGCATGTCAGCTCCTGACAATGTGTATAGACTTATAAACTTCATAGAAATTCGCCCAGAAAATAAAATTTTTAGGGAATTAGGTTGATGTGTAGTGTGAAATATGCTGGGAATTAACTCTATCTTGTGGTCTAAATATGGAACCCTATTTATATTTCAACAAATAATTTTGTCTGTGATCCACCAATTTGTGTCTTTTTTTAATAGTAATGTTCACTGATCTCAATGTAATATAAAACTAAGTTATTATTTTTGAAAAGATATTATAGGTAACACATCAATTATGACTAACGTGAAGGAGTGCAGTTTCAGCAATATCAACCAGACTGTGTACAATATAGGAAACTACCTATTAAATATCAAAAAATATATTTATTTAAATTTGACATTAATATAGTAAAAAATATTTAAGAACGAAACATACTCATTACATGAACACATTATTAACTTAATTATATTGACATATATTAATAATAAATATATTTATTTGCAGAAGTCGCAAACGTAATCATCTTTTTCTGCATAAGAGCATGCCTCATGGGCCCATAATTGGCGTAACAAACACTGAATCCACAGCTCTTCTCTGACATCATTTGAAAATTCACAGTGACAAAAGAAGCACTCTGCATTTTTGTTTTCGGGAATTTAACCTACTTCTTCTAAATCGTGATCTTCATCAGCTGGTACAGTCTTCATCTGGATCTGAGTCACTCTCAGAAGTCTCCAGATCTCTTTTTCTTGTTTTCTTATATTTTTATTTGGTTGAGTATGAGTGGAAAAACATGTGTAATTCCTTTTTCTATAGCCTATCAGCTCTGGTTCATATGGCGATGAAGTTATAATTTGACATTTTCCAGACTTTCTGCCTCATGTGGTTGTTTTTTCTCTTAATGACTGGCAGTGGATCTATATCAAATGGCGAAATAAAGTTATCTCTGTTTGTTGCAGGATCATTTGAACATCTAATGGGGAGATTCAATGTGTTCAAACATCCGGGTTATGGCCTTGTGTCTCTTGAGCATCTTGGTTGGCAATAAGGAACATTCAAACTTCTAGCTGAACGTTCTTTGTCGGACTGTGAAAAGCTGATAAGTCATCGTCACTGTACTGAACGTCTGCTTCACAAAAACTTAAACAGCAGTTCTTTACTGCGTTTTCCTTTTCTTCAATGAAATCAGCATCTTTGAATATATCCCTGTTAAAAGACATTGAATTGTTTAGCGGCTTTTTCCAGTCCCTTCGTTTCTTCTAAAACAGCTTGTAATGCTGATATCAAATCTTCCTTTTTCCATAGATTTCTCAGATTCCTCTTATGATATTTTCTTTCATTTCCCCGAACTCTGCGAACAAAAAAGCATTTCTGGACTCTGGTCCCAATATTGGCCCCTGACCATATTTCAAACATCACAGGAGCCCAAATTTCGCGGATCACATGTGGGATGTTTATGTACTAACAATCATTCGCAAAACTTGCAATATCACTGGATTTCTTAAGGAATGTTTCACTTAAGCTTTAAGTAACATTGCACAAAAGGCAATCATCAGAAAATATGTATAACACCTAATAAAATAATCAACATTATACTTACGATTAAAATTTTCGTATTGATATGAACTTAATCTCTTCTACCTTCCACTTGTTTTGGCAAACAAATGGGGTTCCATATTTTGTGCATGTCCCATATTTGGATCAGTTCCTATACTAGTTTGTTGAATTTTTTACAGTGTAAGCTTAGCCATAGTCACCCCATTCTACTCAGCATCATTTGTGGAAACTGTGCAAAGCGAAATAGCTAGCGAAAAACCGGGAATTTTAGACGTGTTTAGAGAAGGTTTTGCACGCCTTCTTCACTGGGGTGCACCAGCTAAGGGTAGAATGCTGCCAATATGGGCCCTTATTGTACCTACAGTCACACTAGGACTTGCAAAGTACCTATTTTCAATGATGGTTAAAGGAGCGGCTGTTAGAATACTACAAGCTAACTATAAAACTAGACATGAAGCAAATGGAGCATTGCCAAAAGATCCAAATCATTCAGCAATGATGCAGGATATTGAGTTGACAGCATCAATCATTGCAGCAATATCCAGTGATGTAGCTTTCTACCCTTGTGAGACTGTTGTACATAGACTACATTTACAGGTACATATGTATATTCAAGTAGAGTATTGAATTAATCCACAGCCTCAAATCCGCAGTTGACACGTATCGATAGTGTTGTGCAATAATATTACATTTGATTTAGGTACATTCAAGGGTGATGTCAGTGCTTATTTCAATCTGCGAAAAAATTTATACAGTATCGGACAAAATTAGAGAGACTAGACTAATTATGACTTTTATGGTATACAGAAATATATTGACGTTGAAGATTTATATCATTAAGTAATTTCAAATGATACTAAAATAAATTCATGAACGTTGTTTCCAAAGATTTATTAGAGAAAATAATAAAATACAAGGTGGTCAAACCAAAACGGATGTTTTTGTAACGGGTAGTACGTGGAGCTGTGTGATCGGTCAAGGTAGCAGACTCCCTCAACTCGTAGCCCACACTGGGACGTTTAGTTGCAATGGAAAACTGGAGCGTGCAGCATCGCGTGTTTGCCGTTGAAGAATTTATTCGCAATGGCGTGTCTATCGTGGTTACTCGGCGTGCGTTCCGTCGTCGGTTCAACCTCGCGCCACGTAATGTGCTTCCTTCGCGTAACACAATACTGAGATGGGTAAATGATTTTCGTACACACGGTAGTGTGAAGATAAAAAAGAAAAGAGGTGGCCGAATGGTAGCCACACCTGAGAACGTTGATCGCGTAAGAACGTCTGTTCTTCACAGTCCAACTCGGTCAACCAGACGTCGCGCTCAAGCACTCCGAATTCCTCGCGGAAGTTTAATGAACATTTTGAACAGAAATCTAAAATTCCATCCTTACAAAATAATGGTGGTTCAAAGGCTACTTCCGACTGACTACCGTCAGCGTGAGCAATTCAGCTTGCGCATGTTGGACATTTTAGAGGAAGAAGATGCACTGGTGATGTTGACAGATGAGGCTCATTTTCACTTAGACGGTTTTGTCAACAAACAAAATTGTCGTTATTGGGCACCTGACAACCCGCGAGAATTACACCAACGGCCTCTACACAGCGAAAAGGTGACTGTGTGGTGTGCAATCTCCAAACTCGGAATAATAGGGCCCTACTTTTTCGAAAATGAAAGAGAGCAGGCAGTGACAGACAACTCCGCCCGGTACCTGGGTATGCTTCAAGAATGTTTCATCCCTTATCTTGAAGAAAATGAGATTGACGCTGGCAGCATCTGGTTTCAACAGGACGGGGCTACAGCTCACACAGCAAGGATTTCTATGGACTTTTTAAGAGCGACTTTCCCTCGACGCGTAATATCCCGAAATGGTGATGTTCCCAGGCCTCCACGCTCCCCAGATCTTACCCCCTGTGACTTCTTTCTTTGGGGCTACTTGAAGTCTAAAGTTTATGTTAACAGACCAAAAACCATCCAAGAATTAAAGGAAGCCATCAGAAATGAAATCACGGCGATTCCACACGATATGGTGCAAAGGGTAATGACAAACTTCAACAAGCGCCTGGACGAATGCATTGCAATGGAGGGTCGCCATTTAAATGACATTATTTTTCACACTTAAATATGTTTTCGATATTTTTGGTTTGACAATAAAATTTCCTGAGTTTATCTACACATTGACTTAATTTTCAACCCCTTATGATAAAAATTTAAATTTTGACAGGGTCTTAAAATTCGTCCGTTTTGGTTTGACCACCCTGTATAAAAAGTTCTATGCGACAAAATTGGAAAGACTTATCCTTAAAATACATTTGTATCCTATATTAATGAAACTAAACTAATACTTTGTCCAGTACTCTTTGTTCTCAATGACTTTTTGACATCGACCCAATGAGATTGGAAATTACAGCTGGATCCATTGATTTCTAAGCATTTTCAATCTCTTCAAATAACTGCACGATTGCTGATATTGTTAGTTCGAATCTTTTTCTCAATTATCTCCTAAAGATTTTCAATGGAGTTTAAGTCCGGTGATTGCGGTGGTCATTTTAAAACTTGAATTTTATTTGCTACAAACCATTCCTTCACAAGTTTGGCAGTATGTTTGGGATCATTATCGTGTTGGAACATAAACTTTAGCTGCATTTCCCATTCGGCGGTGATAAACTGCTTAACAAAAATTAATATCATTTTAAGTACAGAAAACTGGAATGGTCTCTCTAATTTTGTCCGATATGGCATGTGTTTCAAATTCTACACTCACCACTGGTATCTCGGAAACGGTAAGAGATACGAAGTTTTTAAATCGCATTACAGATGAAGAAATTCGCAACTTTGCCCCAATTTAAGCGAGATCACAATGGAGAGGCTCGAATCATATATACAGGGTGTTGAGTAATTTATTTTACTGCTTGTAGGATTCCTTAAAACTTGATGTACCAAAAATCACCTATACAGGGTGACTTTGAAGTTGAGTCATTAATTTTCAGATAATGATTGTAGAAGGAAGATAAACCAAAATATGTGTGTAAAAATAAAAAAAAATTTTACCTTGTTTTATAAAGTATCCTCCCGACAAGTATTTCAGTGCGGACCTGTATTTGATCGTGAGGTCCCCTGTGAGGTCTTAAGTCACCTGATTCACGAGCCCGTTGTACTACATTAACAAAGGCACGAGGGGTTGGTTGCACTCGATTGGGAAACCGATCCGCATAAACATGTGCCATTTTTTATTTCGTTTGAGCCACGCAACAGACACCACTGTTCACACGCGTTACCGACTGACACTGACTGTATGTATACAACTGAATAAAATAATTGTAAAAACATCGTTCCAAATTCTTTCGCTTTTTTGTTTCCGATGCGATGAACCGATAAGGCGGATTATATCCGTTGTTGCCAAACACGAGCACATGATATTATTATTGAGACAGGGCGGTACTCAAACTTCCAAAGGGCTATAACTTTGTTACTTTCATTTTACCAGAAAAATGGTAAAGGAAAAAACTTCTTTTGATCAGATCTACTCACTGTTAAAATAAATGACTCAACTTCGAACTCACCCTGTATACAAGTTGCATAATAAAATAGTAAAAGATTAAAACTGTTAAAAAATAGTAATGTTATTACACATATTTTTTTATATTCTCGACCGCTGCCGTGTAAAATCTTAGCGTTTTTTGTTTACTACTCTTACTTACCGTTTATCTAAATTTGTGTTATTGTATGGTTTTCAGTAAGAATCTTTGGTTTGATCCGTTGTATCAGACTTTTAATAGTGGACATAATACTAACATACGGAGAGTACCAACAAAATGCTGCCGCAGCATGCAGGTTATTTGCGGAAAGGTTTCCTTTAAGAAATCATCCGGCCCCACGGATGTTTGTAAATTTAGTTATTAGACTTCGTGACACAAGATATTTCAAAGAACAATGAGGAGGTCACGCTGGAGGACCTGCTCAACCTGAAATGTTAGAAATTGAGGATGACATTTTAGAAATGGTCGAAGACGACCCAACAATGAGTACTAGAGCAGCTAGTTGAAGTTTCTCATAGTAAAGTATGGAAAACAATACGAAAATTTTAATGAATAATTAATTATTATAATATGTTTATCTAAATATGAGACAGAATATGTGGTTCCTACATGTTGCGACTCCACCACATTTTAGACGAGAAGCTCATAAACATCTAAATATGAGTTTCCGAATAGATGGATAGGGCGCAATGGCCTGCTAGCTCCGCGGATTTAACGCCATGCGATTTTTTTCTTCAGGGCTATTTGAAAGAGTTGGAGTATCATGATGGAGGAGTAAATACTCTGGAAGAACTTCAACAGCGCAGTGAAAATGCTTGTAATTTAATTCGTGGACACCAGGATTAACTTTCCGAAGCATGTAAAGAGTCGTGGATTCGCCGAGCAAGATTTTGCGTTAATCGAACAAATGGGGACAATTTTTAACAGTTTTCGTAAGAACGGTATCCATTTAACGTGATAATGATTTTTTTCAAATAATTTTGAATAATGTAAATAAACTAACTCTATCATTATGCAACTTTTATATAGGTGATTTTTGGTATTTCAACTTCTTTTGATGAGTTCTGCAAGGTGTTAAAATAAATGACTGAATTTTGAAAACACTATGTATATCTGTCTGATATGTTGAATGTTATTTTTTCAGGGTACCAGAACAATAGTTGACAACTTAGACAATGGAAGGTCTGTGTTACCTATCCTGACAAACTATGCAGGTGCCATTGATTGTTATGAAAGTTGCCTAGCTACAGAGGGTGTATGTGGACTGTACAAAGGTTTTGGCGCCTTGATTCTTCAATATTCGGCACATATTGCTCTCCTTAGAATGTCCCATTTCATTCTTAATCAAATTGGTTCTCTTCTGAGGAAACCAGAACAGAAAGTACAACCACCTATTGATGTGTCACCACCAGCAATCTCAAATATTACAAGTTCAAGGAGATCCTACTTACTTCCATAGTTTTTTCTAGTCAGAATTGTTGATGTTTTGTTTTATTTTGGATTTATTTTGAATTTCGAAGTCTTTGTATTGTATATGTACCCTAGAGCCAGACTAGGTTAAGTCCATTTTTGTCAAAAATGAGTTTAACATGTTATGTTTACGATAATATTGTGAGTTTTCATTTGCTACATGCAGCGTCCATCTCTGTAATAATAAAGAAGTTCCGACTTTTTAACTCATGTCAAGTCCCATACAATACAATGCACGAAAAATATTTGAAATACAACTATTTCAGAACTACTTATTTGGACTTAGCCTAGTCTGGCTCTGAGGTACAGATATATTGTGAATCAAATTGATAGCGAATTCATAATTTTTTATTGTAACTAAGTGTTTAATAAAGTATTGTAAATTAATATTGTTTTCTTTATAACCCAACGTCATACAATTGGCAATAAACATTTCTTAATAAATTTAGAAAAACCTCTTATTTTTGCTCATCCCTGCTGTGGCTACGCGAATGGATCTCTGCACACGTATATAATTTGGAGCACTGAATTCGAATATGATCATGGAGAAGTTCTGAAGTGTCAAGGGACCAAATTTAGGGGAGAAAATGTGTTTATTGCCTACGGTACAATTGATACCTCCACCCAAAATATTGAGCACTATATTTTTGAATGTGGGTTTCTTGTTTTTGGTGGCATATTCCCGCGCAAAAAATTGATTTTGGTTCTCCATGCGTACGTGCTTGCGAAATTAGTATGCCTAGGTAATGTGGGTCCCAGCACTAAACTGAAAAGCGGTTTCGGAATCTGCGCACCCAATTTACCCAAGAAGTGAGCTTTCGCATAGGACCACAGACGCACGTTTTTGAAAATCCTCTCTTAATGATGTTTCTTATAATCTTTATGGCTTTGACGTTCAAAATTTCCGTTCTTCTGAGACTGAACAAATTCTGAATTGTAGTGGAGCCAAATATGGAGCAGGTAATGAGTTATCTGGAAAACGATGTCGTTCCCAGCACAAACTGACAACGGATTCGAAATCCACGCACCTGCTTTACACAGGAAACGGGGTATAAAAAGGCTATTGATTTCGAAAGAGCTTTTATTAAAATATCTCTTTCTAATTACATTTAGGAAAACCTATCTTATACATGGCAATTCAAAAGTATGGATACGGCAGAAAACCATTCTAAAAAGAGATGAATGTTTAATATTTTCATCTGAGTGTTGATAATTCAAGTTTATATTGAAGTTTGGATCTTTTTTCTCATATCTTCCAGTCGGCATACTTTCGATTTACCATGTATAATTTTACATAAAAACATTGCTTTAAGTCGCAAAAGAATACTGAGAATCAAGATCTGGTTCACAAACGAATAACAAAATACTATTGATGATGTCATTTTTGTACAAAAATAGGAACTCATTACATAAAGAAATGATATAAATACTAACAAACTACTGGGCTTTAGAAATCATCAATATTTGAACTATCATTATTAACAAATGACTCGACTGCAAACTCTACAGTGCCGACTAAAATGCACGACTAGCAAAAAAAAAATAATAGAAAAAGCAAGCATCATATTGCCTAGAAATTGTAAACATCTAAATCATAATCTTTGATTTCGTTCTCGATATTGAAAATCTGGAATTTTAAATTTTGACCTTACTATCATTAGTATTTGGTGTCATGAGTCGGTTAATGCATCTAAACAAATTGTAAAATTTTGATTCGTAAGATTAAGCTTTCAAAGTGTTACAGTGTTTTGATCTGTATACAGGGTGTATAGAATAACATGTCAATCTCTCGTAGGCAATCACACAAAAAATGGCTAAAAGTTTCTATAAAAAATGAGCGTTGGAAATTTAGTCATTCTGATTACAGATTCGTAATTAGCGATTAATAAAACTCACAGCTATACATTTTCAGATCACAGATTCAAGTCAGATTTTTTGGAGAGTAAATCAGTAGGAACTGAATTGAAACAAAGCTGTTTTTTTTTTTCAAAAACTGCTCATTTTGTCGAAATCAAACAAAAATGCTTTTTCAGCTAAAGACTTCCCAACAATATTTTTGAGTCATTACTATACAGGGTTTAACCAATATTGCATTAGGGCTAGTCAGTTTCTGTCGTTCTGAATAAATTAATTCTGTCTTCCGTTGAGACCATCAAGTAAGGCTACTGAGCTGAAAAATCGCGTTGGGTTCTGCAGTTTCGTTAAAAAATTATTTGAGAAAAACCGACTGTATCCCCGTAAATCATTTTTATAGAAACTTGTGGCAACATTTTTTTTGTGTTTTATATGTATACGAGAATTTGACATGTTCTTCTGGGGCACCATGTATACCTTAGAATTGGCTTTTCATATTGGTCTCGTATAAAATTTGAATTATGAGATGCTAACCGTGGATATAATAGTTCGAGCTATTTTTATTTTTAGCATATATTCCTTCTGAATTCTTACACACTTCCTACTAGACATGTAGAGTACATAATAAGGTACATTTAACATTTAAAAGTTCGGATAAAAGAGTCTGTTAGTTCCTAGCTATTAGAGCCGAAACACACGTTGACGCCGCAATAATTCTTGCTTAATAATGCTGGTATGCCAGAAGTAGTCAAAAAGGATTTGGTCGACAAATTCTTTCCTAATTCTTTTGGGCTACGTCCCGTCCCGCATTCTGAATTAGGACGCAATTATTAAAAAAGCAACATGTGTTCAGTGATGTATAGTTGTTATAAATCTAATTCAAAATACGTCAAAGTTATGGGTGAACATTGAAAAATCATCGCATTGAAATTTAAGCAGACCATTCACGCTAAAGTAAGCTTTTATGAACTGGGCGCTTGTCTTCCGGCAACTTTAGTTACCGTGCATGGTCAGCTTAAAGTTCAATAGACTACACAAACTGGGAACCGTTTTATTTAAAAACATCTAACTGACAAATTATTTTTTGCAAAATACACATTGAACATACACAAACTTATATAATCTATTCACTGGGTTTGATAGAGATGGTAAAACTACACACAAACAAAAATGTATTATAAAAATATTTAAATATGTATTATATAACATCAAGAGGTGACATGTATTATTATAGTCACAAATTGTGTATTTTCTCTCATACACATTTGATAAAAGTTAAAAATAAACACACTAAAATGTAACAAATACATTAGATTTCAAGCGATATATAAGGCAAAAAATACTGTTAAGATCAGGAGAGCATTTCCGGACAACGAAGCTTAAATTCACTACTTTGCTACTTAAAACTAAATTCTTGCATTTCCATACCAAACTGATATAAATTTTAATATAACACTTAAGAGACCTAGTGCCACTCTGAATTTTTTGTAGATTTTATTCGAGAACCGAAACGCAATATTTATTTCACAAATTATAACAAACATGTAATTTGTTAGTGCTTTCAAACTGTTCATCTAACATTTCTTTTCACGAAACTGCACATTTTTTAAGTAATTTACTTAACCTTCAACCCATTTACTCCGTTCTAAATGCAGTTATTCTCAAAATCTAAATAGCAACTAACATTGACTTTATATAATTCCAAAGGTAGTGAATGTGTTTTTTAATACCTGCAAAATAAAAAAACAGCATTAATATAGTGTAGAACTGGTCGCTTTTGGATGAACCGTCAAAATACAATACTTTCCCGCCAATAGGCGTGAGAAGTAAAATAAGTATATTTAAAATAAAGTTTTCGATACAGGTGGAATTTAACAAAACGTTTTTATTTTCATTTTTTTACGCCAAAATATATCATGTTTAAAATACACTAGAAGTTTTAAAATAGAAAAAACGTATTTTTATGTACATACATGTCTCACTGGGTATGCCGTTAGGCACTTACTTAGGTCAACTGGTTGGCAGATACCGTATTAATACGGCAAAACCAGTGGCGTGCACAGGAAAGGTTTAGTGAATGGTAAGCATCTACGCTGCTGATTGAAGGTAAGACACGCAGATTATGCACATGCCATATAGTGTTTCCAATATCAATGCATGATAATATTTTAGGACTTTATCCCAAATATTCAAACCTAAATATGTCAAAAACGAGTGATATCACAAAATTCCATAAGAGACAAATTTAATGGAAATTTGAATAGTATTTTATAAAACACACTTCTTTTCCGAGAAGGCCAGTGGTGTAGAAAATATTTCCTAATAGGTGTACGGGTACACTAGTTTCACCGTCCCTGGCTTAGTTTGGGCCGGGAAACTCTGTGTGTTTATTGTTTACGATGTGCTTACTGAACGTCTAAAATCTTAACTCAGCAGATTTTTTTTTTCAATTTCGCAAATAAAACTTCCATCACCCTGTAATCCCATGTAGGGGAGCATCTTTGGACCCAGATTTATAGGATTTTTTTTGTAATTCTTGGATGTTCTTTCAACCATAGAAATATTGGTCTTTCTGAAACACCCTGTAGAAAGTTCAGTAACGTATTTACGAAACCTAGTATAGCCAAAACTGTTATTTTTACGAAATCCTAATTGAGAGCTAACAAGACAAATTAAAGGAATTTGTTGTATATGATTGAAGGGGATCATCAAAAAGAACCAGTAGAGTAAGATTTTCGAAACTTTAACATTCTGGTAACGTACCTATAGTAGTTAGGCTTAAATGGACCGGCTTTGTTCAATCCCATATATTTAGCTTGCTCGTCCGTCAACTCCGTCAAGTGAGCATCAAACGTAGGCAAATGTAAACTTGCCACGTATTCATCTGGAAATATTGGCGTCAACACTTTATTTTGAATACAAAATTATAAGGTACTCACCCATCTTTTTTGGTAACAGATAAACATCAGACTTATAACGGCCTGGCGGGGCATTAAACAGTTCAATTAAAGCTAAGGCTTGCGTAGCAGATGTTATGGAAACTACAAACGAAGGCAAACTAGAACAGCTTAAATTAACTAAGCGACCTTCAGCTAGAAGGATTATCCTTTTTCCATCTGGCCAAATGACGTGGTCAACTTGTGATCTGACCTTTTCCCAAGTTAAGTCGGGAGTCCTTAAACTATTCTGAAAATTCCAAAACGATCTTAGTCTAACACACTACGGGGAATTACGATTTCAGTTTCATCGTGCATTATCAAAAAATGATGTCAAGTAGATTCACTTGGTTTATAGCCACTAAAATATGTCAGAGTAGAAATGAAGATCGCGACATTTTGATCTCCACAATTTCATTGTTCAATTTTTGATTTAGCAGTAGGAATAGTGGGGAACACAGTCTGTCAATCTTGACACCATTTTCTAAGCATCAGCAGCTAAAAAGCATAAAAATTAGGAGTGACAAACTTACAACATCAATTTCCGTATTAGAATGTCCCATATTACAAACAATACAGCCATTTTTCATTTTGTCCATATGTTCTCTAGTAACAACGTTTTTGTTTCCAGTTGCAGTTATAACAATATCTACATTGCGAACAACTTCATTCAGTTTAACAACACGATAACCGTCCATGCTGTAAACGTAAATAGATGTAAAAATTAACACTGAACATCCCGAGACAAATACATTGGAATTCCTCTTTGCGGACACCCCTCTTAAACGGTCATTTCATTTAAACCGACAGTTTCTGATGGTTCAGACCGACTCCCATATAATTTGCATTTATCTCTTGGATTGACATTCGGACGCGAACATGAGAAACTGTTTTCCTAAGCGGACAAAAAAAAATAAAATATTTTTTTTCTCTTGAGAGTATCGCCCCTGGGACTTTCTCGAGTAAACTGGGGATTCACCGACTTTAATCCTTCGATACAAACGCAGCATATGTGCATTTCTTCCCGGCGTGAATTAGGGACTTCCCGGAGCTAGTCGGGGATTTACCGTTCTTATCCTTTGGGTATACGCTTTCGATTAAATTTCTATTCAGTATTAGACTGACGTCTATGTGGAAAAGACAAAGTGGGCGGCACATTCATAGTAGAAATGGCTCCATTATGGAAGATTGGCTTGCAAGACCTAGATTGGAAAATGGCTTAAGATCCTAATTGTACATCAGCTTCTCAACCACTTGACCAAGGCATTATAAAGAGTTTTAAGACTTATTACCGAAGTCTAATACTTAAACACCTCTTAGTAAACATTGAAGCTGATGGTACAGCTTTCGAGTTAATAAAGAAAATTAAATTGGATGCAGTTTATTTAGCAAAAACCGCTTGGGACCAAGTAACCGAAGAAACAGTGCAAATTGCTGATATCCCCAAAAATAAGAATTTATTGAATTGACTGTTAATGAAAACCTTCATGATTTTTTGAACCTAGATGAAAGTTTGTATGTTGATGATCCAGATTCAGGCCAGGAAATTGAAAATCGTGTTGAAATACAAGAACTTTCAGAAGATTCTGATGTCGATGAGGTTCCAGTACCAACAGAAGCAATGCCAAATTATGGTAAAGCTATTACCCTGACTAAGCAGCTCAAAGGTTTTGTCGAAAATCAGGGAGATCTTTGGAGCTTCTTTCTAAATTGGAAATACGATTTCAAGACGCCATTTTAAAATTTTGCGTCCTTAAAGTGACTTTTTATTTGATTGTTTCGTCTTACTATATATATATATATATGTACATACATATTATAGTATACATATGTATGTATATACTTTGTATATATATTTAAAGGTAAGTTAAGTTTGAAGTTTTTTGTTTATTTTAATAACTTTTATATACGTATGCGTTTTAAATATATTCAGTCGTTACCGATGGTGTCCGCCCAGAGGAGATTTCACTGTATTGACTCAGTACTAGCTTCTGTTGGGTAACTGAAGAAAGTACCCTAAGCCTTAGATCTCATTAGCTTTGTATACTTTGATATTCCATCTAAAACTATGCACCCTGTTTTGAATATGTTCTGTATACTTGCTTAAGACCAAAATCTTATTTGATGATTGACAATGTTTTCATTATTATTATTATTATTATTAATAAGGGGGCCCAAATTTAAATTCACTTATTCATGTTAATGCATACAATTGTCATCTGGAAAATTTCAAAACAATCAAATATACTCAGACTCAGTACAAACAGTATACAGTAAAAATGGGGATAACAATATAAAAACTTGAAGGAGGTTATGCATTTCTGGGATGTAAACGATGGTATTATTATGAGCTGTTACGTAAAATTAGCTTGAGTGGACAACAAACAATAACCAATAACGAGAACACTTCAGTTTCATAAATGGTTTACTGCTAAGCCGCAAATTATGGATTTTGCAATAAATTTAAATCTGAAACTGCGGATGATCAGTGGTAATGTGAATAGCTCGCGTTATTTCGTGTTGATCGAATGAACAATTGTCATCGCATATACAGGGTGAGTCAGCACAACTAATCAAATGTTAGTAAATATTAGCTTCACGTGTGTGATGAGTGTAGTCTGACAATTTATGATATCCGAAAATGTCTGCTTATTGTCCTCTGGTTTTATCAAAATAATTGATACATTATATCGTCGCTGTTATGATGAAACCTCGTATATAACACTTTTTCCGCATCGGAGCTTTCTAGCTGTCATGTATAGTCAAATATCAGCTCCGTGATCTGATATACAAGAGTTTCATAATAAGAAAATCTAGCAATTCTTTTGATTTACTAGAAATCGGTGTGAATGGAAGCGAAACCAATTTTTTCAATTTCAAAGAGTTTTTATGTCATTCTGTTTCTAAACGCATAGGAGTTTTTGTCAAAACAACGACGCTATACTCGTATGTAATCTTCAGCGATCAAGATCCACCACAGCGACGGAAAATGATAGAAATCTATTCAATATTGTCAACGTGCCTGTAAATTTAGGACTCACCTGGCTTGCAAAGCACATATTGGATCGATCTCTGTAACATAAACAACACAACCAAATCCTTTCAAAGCCTGGGAACATCCTTTGCCTACTTCGCCATACCCACAAATTACAACTTGTTTTCCCCCAAACATCACATCCGTAGAACGTTTTAAACTGAAATAATCAAAAACATCCAATTGTCGCAACAGGAGGCGCTGCCTATTGACGAATAAAAATAACAAAGAGAAAAAAACGGACGTCAAGTAGATTGACTCGATAATCCCTACGTCTTCATTGGAGGTTCCAAAGAAAAGAAAACGCATAAGTCAAATCGTTCCAAAAGGCGAAATCGAATCGTGATTAGGTAAGTTCACTTAAGTGGCAGATGTAGGGAAAATATGTCTTATTATGTCTAGTAATAGAAGGTCGTCCACTGACACCGAATATGGAACAATTCACAACCATTTACCGCATACAGGTTTCTCATTTTCGTCCCCTCCAAACAAAAACTAAAAATGAGCAGGAATCTCTGAAACGTTGTAACACTATTATTATATACCAGCACAAAAATAGACAAAAACTGATACCTATTTTCCACTCTTACAGTACAAGGCACAAGTTAGAAAAAATGAATAGATATCTTTTAGCAAAAAAAGACTAGGTCAAAGAGCCTTACATTTTATAGCACCACGTATTTACTATGAATTGCCTGATACGATAGTAAATATTTTGTTTTTAAACATTTTAAAGCAATACTGAGAGAATGATGATTTTGCATGAAGAGCTAGTGTTTCGAAAATACTCGGACTTGTGTAAAATCTCTTAAATATCCTGAAAGTTTTGTTTCCATTCATAGTAGTACTAGTATTGTTGTTTTAATGCCTTAATTTGTATGGTTGTGCGGAATAATGCATAAAATATTTTTTTACTTATATATTGAATGGTGTATGATGTTGTTTTGGTGTGACAAGGGAATTTAAAAAGTATGCTGCGCACAAATCTTTTTTGAATATTTCAGTGGGTAATCCTATTTTTTCCAACTGCCTCTAGTAGAGCTGAATATGTATACAAATTATGGAAAATAAAAGAGTTTGACTATGTTCCAGCGATTTTATGTCCACATCCTCTGAATCAATTTTCAAAATCTACGTCTGCCTAAATGATGGAACTATTAAACTAACGATAATGATCGAACTTCGGTTCACAAGGTCGTGTTTTTCATTTATGTCGCTTTGTCAGTCCGTGTCTGTTGTATATCAATGCGTCATAACAACTGAGTCAATCTACTTAACGAAATATGCAGAGAACCATCATAGACGGAGTAACACAAAAATGACTGGTACATTTAAGGATCATAAAATTCAGAAAAATATATGTGTAGATATAAAAACAGTTGAGGCATCATTTACAAAAGCATCGCAGAACGCTGAAGTGGTACGTACTCCTAATATCCAAATATTGCCAAAATATATAAATATTTCTCGTATAGCGGTGCGACAGTGTACTTTGACTAGAAAATCTGTCCTAGATACATTTTTCGTCCGCCTACTGGCGCCGAAAATGGAAATACTGAGATGACATACCTGTCAATAATAGATTCCCGGCAGCTATACAAATTGTCATATTTGGTTTTAGTGACAGAATCATTCACATTCATTGCAGGGACACTCAATTTCCCTCCTTTTGATAACTGATATAGTCGGTGTACACCAGTAACACTCTCTTCTACTATTCCTAAAAATCAAAAATATATACTCATGACGTCAAAATTAGTGCTCTAATATTAAGGAAATTCATCCCGCCTTACTTTTGGGTTATGAGTAGCAAAAAATGGCCCGAAATATACTTAGGCCCACCTCTGGCCTAGTAAAACCACATGTATTAACATAATCTTCTTTACCATAAACGTTTCAATCACAAAGGTGATCTTCTTCAGTACAATGACAATATATTTATTATTATGTCTTCTAAGTGACAGATCGTTTTTTTTCATTATCACATTCCTATACAGTGTTGCTATAGTCTGACAGTCCCGTAATATGCTGAGATTGCGCAGAGATTATCGATATGTAAACCACAGGATAAATTTCAGATGTTACATTAAGAATTGAACCACTCAAAAACATCTAACCTTTTATCAGCTTGAACATAGCAGGATATTTTTTCAGCATAAGATGAGTGGCATCACCACCATCATCTAAGATCATATTTGGTTGCCAGCTTTCAGCATTTACGCATTTATCTATGCACCACCAAAAATCTTCTTCAGTTTCGCCTCTCCATGCAAAAACTGAGAACCCTGCTTCTGCAAGAGCTGCTGCCACTTCATTCTGCAATAAATTATAAAAAAACTGAGGTGCCGGGCCCCCATTTTGTTATTGATACGAAAAATATGTAATATTGCTAGAAGTATGCCTGAAAAGCACACAAATGTTTGTTTTGTAATGTTAAGCATGAATTACTTTGCACTTTCATAAATAATTATTAGAAAGTAATTTTGTAGTTTAAAAATCAGGTGCTAAACCGGAATCTTAGTAAGAAATGTCAATTATCAAGATTTTTAATCTAAGGCAAGAATACAGAATGTACCCTACTAAAAAAAAGTCAAGAGAAAATAAAAAAAATTCCGTGATCTTTGACAAGTTGTACTTCGGTGAAAAATGGTCGTATGTAGACTTTAAAAACGGCATTTTGAAGCCTCAAAGTTATAGTTTTCAGGCTTCTTACCCGAAAATTTTAAGACGAAATGGTTCTTATGCATGTAACAGATAGCGCAAGGAATTTTTTTTGCAAAATTATTGCCTTCTTTTTAGGCCACGGGCTTTCTGTTAGGCCATCACATGGATCAGATAGCCCGTTTATTCAGACTCAATATCCTGTTTCTAAAATCTCGATATGATGGTAGCTCATTTTCGACCCAAACTCAGGACAACAAAAATGTATATTTTTCACAGAAAACGTACCTGAGTTGAGTATATATTGCAGGCTGCCCATCTCAAGTTAGCTCCTAAGGCTGCTAATGTTTCGATGAGTACAGCTGTTTGGGCGTTGATATGAGTGCATCCAACAATTTTTGCATTTTTCAGTGGCCTGTCATCGGCAGCTCTTTTTCTTAATGCCATTATACCCGGCATCTCTGAGATACACATACATATTACACTTTGGTAATTTGCAATCTAAAAAAAGACATACCTTGTTCTGCAATTTCAATTTCACGTCTCCCGAAGGCGTGTTGGGCAATGTTACGAACACAAAAATCAGAAAATCCTGACGAATTTTGCTGGGTCTTTTCTCTTGGAGAAATATCATCGTCATCAGAGCTGCTTCCTGTACAAGAAGCTGAAGAATGTGTAAACATTTCTTTTGCCGCATCCACATATTGAGCCAACACATTGGAGCTAACGATTGCTGTTGCAGCAAAAAAAAACGGGCCTGCTCACATTGGTCGGCACTTCGCCAACTTGAAGGATATGATGTATGCCTAAGATCAAGCTTCACGGTGTTTTAAGAACATTTTACGATTTTACCTCGAACATTCAAACCTAAATATCTCCAAAAACGAACGATCTGACAAAAATTTCTTAAGAGGCAAAATTTATGGCTAAAATTAAATAGTATTTTATAAAATGCACTTTTCTCCGAAAAAGAAATAATTTCTAATATAAGTCCAGGTACCCCAGTTTCTACGTGCCTCGTATATTTTGGGCCGAGAAATTCTGTGTGTTTATTGTTGATGAACGTCTAAAACCTTAACTCGGTATCTCTACCCGCTCCGGGTTTATTTATTTTTATTAATTTCGTAAATAAAACTTCATCACCCTGTATCTCGGTAGGGGAGCATCTTTGGAGTCATAGATAGATAGATAGATAATTTTTTATTTATTCATTAGCCGAGGCCTAGAATATTATTAAAGGGAAGTAAAGTAGCTAGCTAAAATTAACTATAAAGGAAATATACAATTACAAAGATTTTTATGAACTACTAAGAATTCATGTGCCTTCACAATCATAAACAAGAACAATATATTTAATTACAACAAGTCTCCATACAGTCAACGTTATGAATAAAATCATGTATAGAAGCAACAATGATATAATGCCCTGCAGTACATAATACTCTAAAATAATTATAGAGCGAGTCTCGTTACCCTCATAAAAATCATTCAATGAGTAAAATGCCTTAGAGATTAAATAATTATCGATAATCTTTTCAACTTCGATTTCCGGTAAATTACGTACATTTAAATGAAAACTATTGAACATTTTTAAACAGTATAAGGAGCATTTTTTCTGTAGAAAACTAAAGTTACACTTATCTGGGATAAGATCTTTCTTACAAACATAAAAGCGTGCAATTTATAAAAAGAAACAACAGTTAGATTTTTTTTACTGATGAAAATTTCTTTGCAACTTTCCATTTATTTGTTTTTAAATAGGGTCCTTATTATAATTTTGTTTTTTATTTTTGGATTTACCTTTTACCCTAAAAATATTGGCAAGTCTTTCGGAGACACCCTGTATAGCGTTGTCCCAGTATCATTGGTTGGCTTTGGAAACCAGTTATTCAGCACCCACGTTGGTCAACCCCGGCCAATGCGCAATTTTCTCCCATCCCAATATTTAACGTCCACACATTGGTGTGGGCCTAGGTTGGCACAATGCGTGGATACGACGTTTGCATTACCAAACACAACAGAAATGACCATTTCGAGTGCCTTCAAACATTCGATTCCATATCAAAACCTTTTACGTCCTACACGAAAAATTTCGAAAATGAAATACTGTTTTTGGATGTTACATGACATGATGAAATCGGTGATATATTCACACAAGGTAGTGGCTGCTATGCCAAGAACGAAAAAGCTTTGTAGTTTTCGAAAATCGGTCCAGTGACGGAGAGAAAAAAACCATAAACGAAAAAATCGCTCAAACTTCGTTTTTCGGTGTTTCAGAGGGTCCTGATCGTTTCCAGAAACATTTTTATATGGGTTGAAATTTTCAATATCAATACATTTATACGCTCCCAACACCAGAATGTTACACTCGCTGTGCCTTTTCCATTGAATTATTTTGCTGAAATCTCTCACTTACTGGATAGGATTACATTTCGTGCTGATGTGCATGATATATAGTAAATGCAAGATCCAGAGATCTGTTAAGACCTCCTATCTTCCGCACTGAACTCCTCCAGCGTGCTTTTAGTTCCCAACTACGCAAATATAAAACTAATTATAAAAGATATCAAATTTATAGGTTTAAAATAAAGTGCTGAAAATCTTAAATGTAATACTCGCTCACGAAATGATCATTTCCTTCCTACCAAAAAACAGGCTTACCTGAGCTGTACGAATCTGTAGAAGATGCTGATAAAGATCGACTTCTATATCGACTAGATTTCTTTAAAGCACTAGTTTTGGTATCCTGAAATCCAAAATCCATTTAATATTCATAATCAGGTATTATTGATTCATAAAAAATCACAGATCTACAAAAATGGTTACTAGTGCCAACGTGATACCTCAGAAGATTATGGATAGAAACTTTTATGGATTTTTAAAAATCTATGAAAGTTCATGATACTGATTCACGTCTGTCTATCTATTTGTTCGTTGCCGTCCATTCCCTCCATCTGAATCCATTGGCGCTTTTGTCACCTCGGCAACCTAGTAACTGCTGCAGTGATTTGGTCGAATGAGGGTTAATACCGATTTCAAACATCTTAAAAAATACTTTTATATTTCATTTTTGAGCACCATCAACATTAAATGGTTATAGACAGGATTAAATATGTTGTCATGTTCCGGTTAGAACACATTGCAATACTTGTTTGAACAACTTCAATTCCAACAGCCTGAACAGACGTAAATTCTTTGTTAATTCAGAATGTATTATTTAGAATGAGCAATGTATTTTCTCGTTTCACCAGCTAACTCTAATTTTATTCGCCTTGTCTAATTATCTTTTCTTGATATACAAGGTCTGTCGCAAAGTAAACAAGACTTTTGAAAGATCCGAAATAAGTAGCGCCATCTATTATCGGAGGCTAGAGTTGGATAGGTACATCATTTATTGATGCCCTGTCAAAATTTCATGAGAATCGAACCACTTCACGCGGATTATCGCGCTCAAAGTGACAGTACCGTTTTAGCATTGGTTGAAAAATGAGCATCGAACAAAGAGTTAGGTATGAGTTAAACTTTGTAAAACATTTACCGAAACGTATCAGATGTTGATGCAAGTGTATGGTGATGATTGTTTGTCTCTTAGCCGAGTGCATGAGTGGTTTAAACGGTTGAAAGAGGATCGTGAGCCGACGGAAGATGACGAACATGTTGGCCAGCCAAAATTTGTGTATCAAAAATGATCCAAAATCTTCATTCAGATACATACAATGGACTTGAATATCTCTAAAGATTCAATCCATCGCATTTTGTTAGCACAAGCTCACGGAAGATCAAAAATTGCTTCAAACTCAACATTCGAGAGACATCATCAACGATGCCTAAAAAGACAAAAACATTCTGCACAAAATTGTGACTGGTGACGAAACGTGGTGTTTTCAATACGATCCCGAAACCGAGCTTCAATGTGCTGAATGACAGCATCCAATCGAGCCAAATCTAAAAAAGCCGTTTGGAAAAGTCTAAAGTGAAGACAATGATGATATATTTCTACGATTCGAAGGGAATTATTCACAAAGAAATTAATACTGTTTTATCTTGGTGTTATACGGCGTTTGCTGTCGTGTATTCGTCGTGTTCAACCGAAATATCGCGAAGAAGGAAGCTGGAGCTTGTTGCACGATAATGCACCATCTTATTGATAGATGGCATTTTAACCATCAACCACTCCCCACCTTCTCCTGATATGACACCGTGTGACTTTTCTGTTCGGTAAACTACATTTGGCCATGAGAGACAGTGGTATGCCGACGTAGAGACCATCCAAAAGGAATTGACGACCATTTTGAAGGACATCCCAGTCAATGAGCTAAAATCATCATTATAAAATCCTTTGGTTCATGCAAATCGCTGCATTAACTCTGAGGAGACTATTCTGAATAAAATAAAGTTGATTTTCTGAAACAAAAAATGTATGTTCATTTCTTCTTTGTTCTGTTTACTTTGGTTTTGGATTGAATGTAATAAGAATGCCTGGTCGGCGAATTCTTCTCAAACTCTTTCAGGCGATATCTCGCATTCTGAATTGATCAAGAATCAACGTGTGTTTAGGATTTATGTTATAAATAATTATTAAGGTATTAGCTTTATTATCACCATATTTAAAAAAACTAAACAGACATATCTGCAAAGCAAAAAAACACGTATGTAGCGTGAAAGATATAACAATAAAGTGTATAAAGGCTGTTGCGCTTACGAGCACGAACGCGAATGAGGCAACCCGAGAACGAACTATTTGTCTCGGATACGGCAAGTTCGGGTTCCAGAATAGTGGACGCTCGAGGCGTTGTACGGCATCAATCCATGGGATGTGGCGGGCATTCTTGTATTCCAAAAATTTTACCAGGCTGTCTCAAGAAAATTTATTTTTGCAATTAAATTGTATCAAACCAAGAATTGAGCGACAAGGCACATACTATAGAAAAGATGTTCTTGCTAAAAAGAAGCAATAAAAAATAGTCTTAGATGACAATAATATTTATTCCGTGCACTGGTAGTTACTACAAAGTAGACCGCCTTGACATGAAATGTTTATTTCTGTACAGACAGAGCACGCACCGAGCATGTGCCTCACTTTGATGTACCGCGAAGAAGCACATCGGATCGAGCCCGAATAAATACGAATTCGTACGTATGTACATATAGGTATGCTTATGCGTCCGCAGGTTGCCTCATTCGCGTTAGTGCTCATATGCGTACCCGCCTTAAGAGACAATTAAAATTATAAAGATAACCATGCAACTAAGTAAAAATAATTATATACATATATATATATATATATATATATATATATATATAGGGATCATTGCCAATAACAAGAAACCCAGAAACCAAGGAAGTGTTTTTCGTTCTCAAAACGTGGCAAAACTAATTTTTAAGCTGATATAATGCATCTTATTGTTTACCTGCGTTGACTGTGCACTAAGTGGAGATAAGCTGTCTATCATTTACAATTTCATCTTACTTGCTCAATATTACAAATTGTACCAGTTTGTCTCTTTTGATTGTAATAAATTGAAACTGATTTTTTTGTTTTAACTTAACAACAAAAGATACACATATCTCATACAATGAAGATTAAGAGATCAAAGCATCTTTGCCTAAGGAAATAATAAGAAAAAAATTCCCCACTATAGAAAGTATTTAGGAGTATGCAAAAACATATCAAAATTAACAACAGGTGAACAAATACTTGTCCAGAATTGCTATGTATCACACACATTCACAGCTTCTGATCCTTTATAGTAACTTTATGACAGACATGTTTTTTAACAGTTGAGGAGAATATTAATATAGTTTTGGATAAACCTACATAATAAAATTGAAAAAGTTATAAGACTGTTAAAGCCAAATTGCTTGGCTGCAATTTCTCCCTATTAAACCTACAAACTGCTGACCATTTTAGTGTCCTAATATCAACATATTAGAGCATTAAATCAACATTTTAATATCATCATTTTTGCATACTTCGATAGAAAGATAGTTTGAAGCAGAAAATATCATAGCTTTGCTGAAAACTAAATATTGCATAGTTGTGCTAATAGCTTCTAAAAAAGCATAAGCTTCATGCTACAGATATGTATTAAAATGCAATAAAGACCTAAAGTAGGTAAAGCATACACATAGGTACATGTATATCTTACCAACTTAGATCTTTGGCAGACAAATGCATTACTTCCATCCAACCCCTAAAAAGAATCATTTTTGAAATATGCAGCCTACAACTTGTTCCAAAAAAGATATAGATGAACCCAAAAACCACCTACTATAAATGTAAGACCAATAAGGTGGTGGTATAACACATTTTCACTATATACAGAGTGTCAAAGAAAACATATATATGAAATGTAGAACGTAAAAAGGTAATGTGACAAGACCCTAAGGATCTCACTGGAAAACTATTTTTCTTAAATATTATTTAATAATATTTACTTGACACTAACTATTTCAACATAATTTTGCCAGATTAGTAACAAGGTTCTCAATTTCTTCTTACCACTTCCAATATACTAAAGACAATGTTTATGTCAGCTTTCATTAGCACCCTATAATTTCCTTCAAAAAAACTAATTTAAAGAGATAGACAAACCAAAAACAACCTACAGTAAATATGAGAGCAATAAGGTGGTATAACATGTTTTGATTATATACAAGGCATCACAAAACATGTGGCCATTCTTTAAAATTTGTGTAGAGTATAAAATAATGGTAAAATTTCCTACAGGGCTCTCTAGCTCTGTTAGTGGCCCGTAAAGAATAATTAACCGACTTCTTAGTAGTATAAAGCTCTTTTTACAATGATATTGTCTACAAGTGCTAGGTCCAAACTTACATTTCATATGGTAAACTATTAAATTGTAATATATTGATCATATAATGAATATTTTTCTGAGAATCATTCTTAATGATTGTATATTTAAATTCAAATATGTATTCATCATTATCCAAAAATATCCCAGATTGTAAAAAATTATATACCATCAGATGAATAAACGAATAAGCCACAAAATGTCTTGAGCCTGGCATAAATAAATAATAACTGCCCTTGTGGAATACCCCATAGAGCTAAAAGGAAGATGTTTAAAAAAATGATTTTTTATGTAATTATAATAAACAGCAGACAGAGGATGTCTTTGCCAATATACTGTTTAAACAAGTAATTTTTTCTAAGCATGGTAATGTTTTCATCCACTGTGAGTTCAAAGGAGTATTTTGTACAAGTTATCTAGTTTGAAAGAACGTTTGAGTTCTATTTTATCCTCAAGCTGTAAGAGTTACAGCAACAGAACGATAGAATTAGATTCAAATAAGATTACAAACATTAACTCAATCAATTTTTACCTTAGCCCCTGAAGCAGGATCAGTAACTGGGGTGTCTGTTACACTATTAAGATTTCTGTTGTTGATAATTGTTCGTATTTCTATTGCTTCTGACATTATTTTTGTTCAACAACTTTTCATTTATAGGAAACAAACGCGCTTGAAATCCGCAAATCTAAAATCAAATCTTAAGTTAAAATATCTGCTGTAAACCACAACAATACTACATTGTACATTCAAACGTCGATTTACAATTGGCACATGACGAATGACGTCACCACAGAAAAGATAAGGGTAACTATAGACGAGCGACAACGCGACTACAGTCAAACCATAAAGCTAAAGCTATTCCACTGCAGCTCGCTAATTTGTTTCACTTTACCCAACTTCTAGCCGAGTGATAATCCATTATTACTTTGCAGTAATATGCGTTTCACGTTCAAACAACAAACCATCATTTATTAGGTTAGCATTCATGAGTGTTTAAATTCGCTCGTGGTGGTCGTTTGTGTAGAGGAGGTATTAGCAATTTAGTTCGTGATGAATTCACGATGTGGCGCCCCAGTCGTAAGCACAGTTCCCTTTCTTTATTGGGAGACAGCCTCTCACATATGGGTTATCCGGGCGCATGCGTGGTCTTCATTCCAGTTTTGAAATCTTAAAAGATTTTCCCGGTAGTCCCTATTTTTTATCCACATCCAACATGAATTCAATCATAATCGTAGCGATGATAGTTTTTCTGAAGCCTAGTAAGGATAGATTCTTCGAACTTTAGTGAGTATAGTTTATTCGAAGCCTAGAATGCATTAATTTATTAGGGAGTTATTGAACGTCCAATAAAGTCAGGCACTAATAATTCCTGGCCGTATTTGACATCTGAGCAGGCGCAGTAAAACGAGACTTGGAATTAATCACCGTAATTGATAAAGTTAGTGCCTGCCACTAACCACTATTATAGGACGCTTTAAATAGGCAAGACTATTTTCTTCCTTTTTGTGCGAATAACATTACATTTTATAGTAGTTTTCGCAGATAAAAGAAATTATAGACGGAAAGCAGTTTCCTTTGCCATTTTCTCGCTATTATTTTGTACTTGGCCGTAAACCAACCAATTACCTCCAACGAGTTCCAAAACACGAAGTACAAAAACAATAGCAAAACTTTATAATCAATAAAATTATTGGAATTAAAGTCTTGGTACATCTTTAAACAAGATAAAAGTTTATTTTATTCCAATATTTCTAGGTTAGAAATTGTGCACGGAAATGTACCCAATAACTCTAATTCTAAAGCAATTTTAAGATCAGACTCTACTTGTTATTATTAGTGTAAGGTCGGCAGTATTTCAATAACTCCCTTATTGTTACCCGAATGTTCGCAGGCTTTATATCAAAGGCTTGCATTGGAGCAATTGTGAGACTTTCTAGCTATCCCCTCGTTTGTCATTCAGGATCCATAAAGATGATAATTGGATAGGAAGTTCAAGTACTGATTGATAGATGGGGCGAGGTTGATGAAAATCTGCCAGAAATCGATTATTCAAATATAGAAATTGGAACGGGGCATTATACCCGTTACAGAAATCAGATGGAACTGATAAAAATGCCGCTATCGATTCTTTCACGTGTTCACTGATGTTACGTTTCAGACGCTGGCTAATCATTTATGGCTATTTGGGTTGATTCCTCGGCTTTTCGTGCATAAGAACAGTTAGGTTCTGTCCCAAAAAGAAATTCAGGACTTGACGCCGGTTGTAATGATTATAATAACATATTTATATTATATTTATGGTACCTAATAATTTTTAAGGCGTAATCATTTTTTAATCCCGCGTGTGGGTCAATCTTAAAGACATTCAATTTTAGCATTATTTTATGAAACTTCAAAGTAAATCAGAAATGTTATAAAGGCAGTAATTGTAGCACTATATGAGGGGGTATACCAATAGTGACTTATAATGACTATAGCTTTTAATACAGTAGGCACTACAATATTATAGCCTTGATAACATTTTCTTTTGTTGCTCTAGAGATGCTACCTATTTGGTTGTGTCTCCGCGGCAAACGCCAACTTTGCGTGTCCAACAGCGAACAGTAAAACGTCTCTATTAGGTGAGTGTTAAAAATCGTTATATTTTTTTGAAAATGGTTTTTTGAAACATTAATTTATTATATGATAGCAACATCTGAGGATAGACGAGATGAACATCTGACACTGGTTGGAAAACTGATAGGTACAAATAGATTTTTTTCCTATTACGTTGGTTGTATGACACTTAACATGATTGAGAGATTCACGGACGGAAACCGTTGCAAATTTGTTTAAACAATTTTTAAACATATTACTTAAAATTAGTGGTGTGCTCCTCAGAGCCTGACTTTGTCGTCCCATCCTGACAGTATCGAACTTCGTACATGCAGAACTGACCGATAAAACCGCTCCTTTGTCCGTAGGGTGTCGAGATTGTGGAATAATATCTACAATCCTCCACCAAAGTCACCGGATTTAACGGCTCCTGACTCTTTTATGGGGATTTTTGAAAAATAGGGCTTATGCCAACGAACCAAATACTGTAGAGCAGCTGAAGAACAATATTACGGAAGCTTTTGAAAATCCCGAAACCTACCAAAAAGTGATGGAAATTGTAATCAAGAGGGCTCAGGTTTGCGCGGCTCCTAGTGGCGGACATATGTCTGATATTATTTTTACTACATGTCACGTACACGTACAAGTTGCAATAAAAGATTAAGCTGAAAAAAATGGACGTATTTTATTTTATTTCACAAATATTCTAGATACAAACCAGTCAGTTACATATCGGTCACCCTGTATATATGATTTGGTGGCGGCTGTGGAGGTAGCAAATCGTGATATTCAGTGGATGATGAAGAAGATGCTGGTGGAGGACTTGTCATCGATTCTGATGATATCCCAGGATATGATTGATTTGTGCAGTACCTCTATTGTCCTGCCTTGTATTTCTCCATGTCGGCTTCAAAAAGTATTTGTGATATAGCATTTTTAACATAGGCCAATCGTTTGTTAATGACATACCATGCGTTTGATCGCGCGCTGCGGCCACAACCGTCCACTCCATGCTCACCAAACGACTGAGGCACTTTTGTGCTTGACAGTGTTGCCAACAGTTAAACTAGCTCTCCACCAGATTCAACTTTTAAAATCACTAGAAAACCACTACACATAACTGCCAAATTTTCCACTATTTTTTTAGTTTTACGAAAGAAAATAAGTATATATGTTATTAGTTTCCTTCATTATTACGTAATACACAATTATCAATCAGTATATCAACATACCATTTGTCGGTAAATTAACATTAGTAGGTAAATCAACATAAAAATTATACGATAACAACAACTATTCTAAATTAATTCATCTTCCTCAGATGAATCGTTTTTGTCTGCACCATCATCGTAGGTTTCAGATTGATATGATTCTTTGGTACCCATTTGTTTTACAACAATTATTGGAATTTCATATTCATTGCAGCATTTGCCTCAAAACCGATTCTTAATATAGCAGTTACAAGATTTAACTTCATTCTACTCCTCTGCTTGTTTTGTATTACATTCATACTGCTAAATAGTCTCTCAACATCGGTATTGGAATGAGTCAGTATTAAGAGAGTAATCCCAAAAGCCGCTAGTTTCTTAAATCTCAACTCTCCTAGAGCGTCTGAAATGTAATACTTCATTCCAAAATTTGTGTGTGTTTTTAGTCTCATTTCATTTGAATAAATGAATTTGTTGCCACTCATCATCGAATTTTGCTATTTGTTCTGCACTTTTATTGAACTGAGCCATTATGTCAATTAGTGGTTCTTTATTGTGATTGAGTGCTTGTGCAACACTTATTCGGGATTTTTTTTTACCAGTATCAATTTTTCATTTTGTCAATCAGACTTGCTATAAATTAATGTTACACACTGATGCCGCATCATTTCTTTGTTTTCCTGTGGTAATCCTTTTTCTCTCATTTCAAGTATTTGTTTTTCCAATCGATATCCAAAATAACATTTATGATTCAAGAAATCACGAATATTTTGAGTAAAAATATCAACTTTATTTGTAGCTAACGTAATCTTGCTGATGAGCATATCTATCAGGTTGGTCAACTCTTCACACAATTTGGTGGTCCGTATCAAAAGGAAATATCGTATATGCGTACTTGATCTCGGTCGCATACATACATGTAGAGTGCAATTACTCTACCGTGTGACACCTTGCATGGACGTTAGCTACGAAAAAATGTGTTTTTAGCTCTAGCCATTGCGTGTATATTCTCGACTCTATTGACAATCACCTTGTCTGCTTAAACTATTTTTAGCGATTTCTGTCCATTGTTGATGGTTTTATATAACGCTTCATGAAGTGATTGTCTGGAAGACGAGCGACTGAACCAATCATATGTTTCTCTATTTAAAAACTCAAAATTTATCGGTATACATTCTTTTGCAGCAGCTGAAACAGCAACGCATCAAAATCAGGTGTGATCCCTCTTCCTTCAATTTTTCATATTATATATTATATATATTCACTTCAACCATCACACAAGCATTATCTCTAACAATTCCCATTAAATTTTCACATCGGAGAAGGAATCGTGTAAGCTTCTTCTTGATAGCAGAAACAATGATAGGCTAAATGGTTGATCTTTAAAATCTTGTTTTAGGACCTCAGTGAAATGCAACACACTTTTTATAACCGAGGTACATTCAGTTCGGTGCAGTTGAACTTTTTCAATATCTTTTTTAGGAATGTGATTAATTACCTCTCCTAAATGATTAGTCACACGTATGCTATACCCCATTCGTAGTTCATTTACGCCCAGACAAAACACAACATGGCCAAAAGCGAGATTGTACAGGTCCGTATTTTGCTCAATGGTCTTGGAATAATCTAACAAAATGAAGGATTGCACATACTTTTCACAACTCTCCATTCGCTGGAAGTAAATGAATGATCGTCCGAATGGTTAACATTAATTATTACAGGTTCAATTTGAATATCGATCATATTATCCAGATCCAATATTTTTGTTTCGATTGTCTCTTGAACGTGACGGATGCAATCTTTCCAATGGTTTGCCGTCACTCTGTTGACAGCTCCATAAAACAAATTTTTCACGACAGAAAATTTGAATGTTTTGTTGCTCGAAGCCACATAGTTTTTTATATTTGCCCAAATCATTTCAATGGGATTTATGGTCTCATTTTGTTGTTTAGTCATTTCGTCAATAACATTAAAATTATATTTATATTTTTGCTGCCTGGCTAGATGGTTCTGCTTTGACCATATTTTCTCTTGATAAGACTTACTGTTGAATTTCTGCCTTTCTTGTGGAATTGTGGGAATTTTTCCTTCTTTTCTAGTGTGGTATGCAGCATAATCAAGTACAATGACGGTATTGTCGTCAAGCTTTGGGAGCGTTTCTTCAAACCATCGTTCAAATGAACTCCCGTCCATGTTTTCATGGTAGTCGGTCGTTTTCTTTGACTCAAATATCCCTAGGGCAGTGGGCACAAAGCCATCTTCACTGCCAATGTGACAGATAACAAATCGTTTTCCTTTTCCTGAAAATAATTATTTCATATAGTATTCAAGAAACAGGTGTTGGTTCCAGATCTACCAGATATAGCTAAGTTCAGTGTAGCTAAGCTTTCAGCGTGGCCTCAGACTACTTGACACCATTTCTGAAACACAAATGACATGTACTTGACGTATTCTTTAGGCCAGTGGTTAGTCCATCTAAGAAGGCTTGTCTTGCTGATTTAATTGTAGAGTCAGCCGATACTTTAGGTTTTGTATGTCCTGCATTTATCCAGGTTGCATCCAAGTAATAAATATTCCAGCCCTGGTCGCGGTATTTCTTTATTGATTTTAAATAATTTCTTCTCCATGGAATAATCTCTTGGCTGTCCTTCAAAACGCTACTTCTGTCCAGTTTTCTATACTCAAAATGAAGTTCTAAATAGACTATATACAGGGTGACTTCGAAGTTGAGTCATTTATTTTAACAGTGAATAGATCTGATCAAAAGAAATGTTTTTTTCCTTTACCATTTTTCTGGTAAAATTAAAGTAACAAAGTTATAGCCCTTTGGAAGTTTGAGTACCGCCCTGTCTCAATATCATGTGCTCGTGTTTGGCAACAACGGATATAATCCGCCTTACCGGTTCATCGCATCGGAAACAAAAAAGCGAAGGAATTTGGAACGATGTTTGTGTACAGTTTATTATTTTATTCAGTTCAGTTATACATACAGTCACTGTCAGTGTCGCGTGTGAATAGTGTCTGTTGCGTGGCTCAAACGAAATAAAAAATGGCACATGTTTATGCGGATCGGTTACCCAATCGAGTGCAACCAACCCCTCGTGCCTTTGTTAATGTAGTACAACGGGCTCGTGAATCAGTAGACTTAAGACCTCACGAGGGGACCTCACGATCAAATACAGGTCCGCACTGAAATACTTGTCGGGAGGATACTTTATAAAACAAGGTAAAAAAATTTTTTTATTTTTTTTTTATTTTTACACACATATTTTGGTTTATCTTCCTTCTACAATCATTATCTGAAAATTAATGACTCAACTTCAAAGTCACCCTGTAGAATGGGGTCCTTTTGAAAGTAGGCAAGTCTTCATTACTATTAACCTCCTGTAATACGAGTACTTTGTCTATGGTGGGAAGTTCATGCCTTTCAAAAAATTGATGAACTTTGCGTCTGCTGGCATTCCGATCAAAGTTATCAACTGTATCCAACAGCTTCGTGTAATGCAGGATATTGTGTGTGGAGATAATCTTTTGTTTTTTTTTATATTCTTTAAGAATGTTGAAAATCGTCTTAGAAAATAAGCCTGTTTTGTTCGCCACACGTCTTTCAATATCATGAATTTTCATTTCAGGGTGCTCTAACATTTCGCACCTATAAACGTTGAGGACAATTTCTTTTGCCTGGATATTCAAATGTCCCTTCTTGTCGCTTCTTTGGGGAGGAGACATCACTGAAGAGGAAGCATGGCTGAAGGAAGCGTTTGGAGAAATATTCTCAGTTTCATCTGCTACATCCGTAGGCGACATGCTAACGTATAAACATAAAATATGAACAGCAACTGCCGGCGTCGACATGCCGGCGATACCCCAAGCCTGAGTTCTATCCTGTCGAATCCTGCACTTGTTCGTAGTTTTATGACCGAATGATCAATAGCTATTGCATCGCTTAGGCGGCTGCCGCTATGCCACGCTGCATCTTTGTTGTACCGGGGCGTAAATGGACTACGAATAGCATATAGTTATTCATGGCTGTGAATAATGCAAGTCTGGCTTCTTACACTTTTTACTTCCAATGGGCTCTGGCTTGAACGGAATCTTAGCATGGTATCACGTGCCAAAATCAACTAACCTTTTTTTTACTATTTATCACTTATCCGTAATATCAACTTCTCTTCATTGATAATGGAGTGCCCAATCCTAGGCCAAACCCTTTTCAATGATTTTCTTTTGGCAAATTTAATAGTTTATTGATTGTATAAATTCACTCGTAT